CATAATCTACTCTATAAGAGAGTTTCGTTCTTGAGTGTACTTGTGTTCTTAGACACATTGAGAGATAGTACCTCTCTCGGTTGATTCAAAGGAAGGATTGTTTCCTTTGAAGGATTCGTTGAGGTTCGTGTAACTCGAACTCTCAAGTTGTAACGGTTTGTTAAGCACCCGCAAGCTTAACGAGATAGTAGTGTAGCTCAAGAGAGTCTCTCGGGAGGCTGGATTAGCCACAAGTTGTGGTGAACCAGGGTAAAATTCGGTGTGCCTTTTTCTCTTCCCTTTACATCCATTTTAATTTTTTAATTCCTGCGATTTCTCCGATCAAACGCTATTCACCCCCCCTCTAGCGTTGGTCTATTATTCTAACAATTGGTATCAGAGCCTAACTCGCGTCCAAACTTAACCGTTAGAGAGTAAAAGCGATCATGGGTTCTTCTTCTAGAAATTTGTATGCAGGAATAGGTGAAGGGCAATCAACCACACGGCCACCTCTTTTTGATGGAACCAATTATACATATTGGAAAGAACGAATGAGAATCTATATTCGCTCCACAAACTTCCAATTAAGGTTGGTTATCAAAAACGGGGAAGAGGTGCCGATGAAGAAAGTTGGTGACAAGTTGATCCCCAAGACCGAAGACGAGTTTGATGCCGAGGACATCAAAAAGGTCGAGAATTATGCAAAGGCTATCAACATGCTGTACTGTGCCGTCAATCCTGATGATTATCGCAAGATTTCTTGCTGCACCACTGCAAAAGAAATGTGGGACAAACTGGAGGTCACATATGAAGGTACGGACCAAGTTCGGGAAGCCAAAATTGACTTCTTAACGCAGGAGTACGAGATGTTCAGGATGAAGGAAGGCGAAAAGATCGATGACATGTTCGATCGGTTCTCAAAAATCATCAACGACCTTCATGCACTCAAGAAGACTTACACCAACAAGGATCTTGTGAGAAAAATCCTGCGAAGTCTCACACCTGAATGGAGATCAAAGGCAGACGCAATCTATGAATCCATCGGAGTCTCAAATGTCACCATCGACGGGCTTAGAGGTAATCTCAAAACCTATGAATCTACTATTCTAACACCGTCTTTGGATGAACAAAAGAAGAAGGGTATAGCGCTGAAAGCAACCAAGGAGTCCGTGGAAGATGACTCAAGCGATGATGACAACGAGT